GCAAAGCCACTCTGTCGAGGCCCTGAGTGTGGACGCCAGGGAGCTTGGGAGGGGGCAGGGAAAGAAAGGAATGGTGGCCATCGCGGAAGCCGTGGAAAGGTCACAGGCGCACGGAGGTGCAGCGAGGCGGCCGCACAGTCCTCCGCAGATCAGCGCTGGGATGGCTGCAGGGGGGCAGGAGGAGGAGGCGGAGGAGGAGAAGGAGGATGTACAGGTTGAGGAGGACAATGGAGGATGGAAGATGGAGGATGGAGGACGGAGGAGAAGGAGGAGGAGGAGGAGGAGCATAATAATAGAGGCGGAGGAGGAGGATAATGAGGAGGAGATAGGAGGATGATGGAGAAGGATGGAGAAAAATGGAGGAGGATGGAGGAGGCAGAGACGGGGAGGGGTAAGGCAGAAAAAGAAGGGACGGAGGAGATCCGGGGAGGGGGGAAAGAGAGGGAGGGGGACAACGATGGATGGGGCGAGGAGAGGGCCTCCCCCATCCCCTCCTGAGTCTGGCCGGCGCCCCCGTTGAAGTAACACAAGCGTCTGGACCCGAAGGGCATCGCGCGCCCGTCGGCCGGCGGGAAGCCATGCACGCTGGCGCGCGATGGCGCGGGGGCATTCTCGCCGCGTCCCCGCGGGCAGTCGGGGCCCAGCACGCCGGAGTCCACGCACTGGCCCCGAGCTCGCGGACTGTTTCTGTGCAGCTTCGACCTGCCGTGGGCCGCTTCCAGGCCAGCAGGACAAGCAGCATCGCATCTGGGGCGGAAGACTGCTCATTGGAAGGGGTCGAGACCTGTGGCGCCCACGGAATGAGCAACAAATCCATCGCAGGTCTCAGGGTTCACGAACCACACGCGGGCCCGCCGCGACCCCCCCGTCGACCCATGGCCTAGATAGTAAGCGTCCATCCTGCTGCTCGCGCCAAGCTCAGCCTGCTGCTGCTCCTCACTTAGCTACAGCGGCTTAGCGCTGCTGCTTCTTCCGCATGTGATACTCGCCAGCTTCCCTTCCCTGGTCTCTCTTACCACTTCCTCCTCCACCCTCGCAACTCATGTCCATAGCGTTCGCCTGTTTCCAACAGCTAGTGACTGGAGGAAGACGCGACGGAGAGAGAGAGAGAGAGAGAGAGAGGTACACAAACAGTGGCAACACAACCGAGAGGCACGAAGAGACGGGAACACAGGCTCCAGCCCCTGGGCAGCAACAGCGGCAGGCACGGCTGGGAGCTAGCACCTCCAGACTCAAGCTTCGCCTGCAAGGGTTCCGAACTTCCAGGAGCAAGCTGGCCGGGGGCGATCAGGTGCCCACCTGCTGGGTCCTCCAGGCCTGTTCCCCTGCCTAGGCCGCCCCATTTCGCGCGCCGCGCCCCCCGCGGTGCGCGACGCGCGACTACCTTCGCGCCCCCGCGCCCTCGCGCACTCCCCCCCCCCTGGAGAAGGGCAGCCGCCCCGGCCACGGGCCGCGACGCGCGAAGCGCGGTCGTCCTCGCGCGCCCGCGGGCGCCCTGGGCTTCGACCTGCCCGTTCTGAAGCGGCCCCAGGACACACACACACACACACACACACACACACATCAACACACACAAATCCCAGAAGTCCCCGTCTTTTCCCATGCTTTCCTGGTCTTCGTCTCCCCCCCTCTTCCGATATCTTCCCATACTTTCCCGGGAATCGACGATTCATTGTGTCTCCGTGTTTTTCCCCTCCTGACACTTAGACGCGAGGCGAAGGCTGGCAAACCCGTGGCTGCTAAAACGGAGCTCCGGGAAATGGTGTTTTTTCTTCCGGGATGCAGCCCGTTTACTATTGAGCGTGATGAGCTTTCTTCCGGGAATATGTTTCTTCCTTCCGGGAAGACCGTGTTAGCAGCAACGGATGTTCCTAGAACACGAACCCGACGTGTTGAAACAGGACAGTCGCAGCCAGACATGTTCTGAGAGCACGTCGTGGAAGCCAAAAAAGGTTCTCAGAACACTGCTTGGTAGGCCTGTACGCGAGCCAAGACGCTTCGCCGCTGCTTCATCCCGACGCTCCCGCGGCAGGTATTGAGCAGGGACCGACCGTCCCGGCATTCCTATAGTCATGCCACGAAATGTTCTTAGAACCCGAAATTGTTATAAGCACAAAACCAATGCTCTTAGAACATAAACCCGATGTGTTAAAACGAGACAGTCCCAGCCAGAAATGTTCTAAGAACATTTCGTGGGAACCACAAAAGGTTCTTAGAACATTGCTTGGTAGGCCTGTAGGCGAGCCAGGACGCTTCGCCGCGGCACCATCCCGCCGCTCCCGCGGCAGGCACGCGGCCCGAGCCCGCGCGCTTGCGGCCCCTCGGCAGACGGAGCGCCCCCCCCGTCGTCGGCGCCGGCAGGCGGCCCTCCGGCGGGTGGCCCTCGGCACGCGCCACCGGAGGGTGCCCTCCGAGAGGCTGCGGGCCGCCGCTGCGCGGGCCAGGGCCGGTCCGAACGTAGACTGGTTTGTATATGTGTGTACGCATAACATACAGATAT